GCCCAGACGGGCTCGCAGCACCCTGGGACGCGCATGGAGAAGTTGGAATGCACATTCTGTAGCCTTAGGAGGGGCGTTGCCAGGGTAGATGCAGGGTTGGCTTGCTCTAATGGGGGCAGTGAGGGGTGAACTCCAGGAAGCGTAAATGCAGAGCGCGCCATTTCAGTTCAAGATAGCAGATTTTCCTGTAAAATGGGACGATCTCTGGCAAGTTCTGCAACTTCCACCAGTCAAAGAGTGGTGGCCCTAGCTCAGCTCGAAAATAGTTTTGAGGATATACAAGGGTAGTCGAGGTATTATTCCCTTCGTATCTTTTTTATCTGACCCATCCGACTTTATGGGTCTGCGAGTTAACCGACAACTAGGAAGCTCATAGTAAAGTAGCAGAGAAATTATTGGTATCCGCCCTCCTCACGTCACCTTATTTTAACACGCCACTCCATATAGGTACTGCAGTACAACCATTCATGCCAATTATTGCCCATTTATAAATTTAGTGTTACCATTACACATGATATCCATTGATTTACAGATAGTCATGTCTCAAAGGGGCATTACATATAAATGTTCAGGCAGGTTGACTACGACGAATATGGCACAGGTACTGAACTTAGAAAACGTGGTTTAGCAGGATCTCTTTTTGGAAGCAAGTCGCAGCATTGAATTTTCTTTAGAAGGTTCTAAGTGCAAAATGTACAATATCTATCCACATGACATTGAAATAAAGATGTAGCAGAGGATTGCCACCCAGTGCATTGACGAAATCTCCTTTCGTTATAATGCTATTAGTATCTACCAGTCTTTGCGTAGTATCAGCCAAGGACCGTGCTATGGGCTAACAAATTTGAGTCCCATGGTGGCGTCGCATCTGCGTAGCCTTCTCTAGTAGCCCTGTCTGCTGGCTTCAACCGCTGGGAATGATAGACACCTGATAACCTTATAACCACCTTCATGAGCGAGTTTTCGAGCGATGATAGTTGAGCTTTGCCTATCATGACAAATGGATGTGTCTTCGACTACTGAGGGTGCAAAACTTTACCTGCATATTGACTTGAACTTGCGTGTTTGAAGCGGTCAGTCGTGTACATGGAGCGGGAATGTGGTGGAAGCATGAGCTGGCGAGATCGAGAGGCGACACTGAGGGTCTGTAGGGTCTGCGTAGGTTATCTAAATGCAACGGCCGTGGTGCAAATATCTGTATGTCAAAATGGCGTGCTTTGCTTATCACTGAGTACTTCACCAGCTGCAACTTTGTGGCCAGTTTGGCCAATGACCGCTTACAAATTACCAACGAACAGCACAAAAGCTTTGTGTGAACTGTGTGAAAACTTTCCATATGTGGGCGCGTTTCAGGAGATTGTAAAAAAACTCGCCTGCAGATGCGCTCATTGATTCACTGTTTCCTGAGGCTGCAGCTCGGCCCCACGCTCCCCATCGCAGACCATGGCGACTTGTTCGTCCACACTTTTGTACACTGGGTTCGTGGATAAATAATTCGTACCCTGGGGCCATGTCACGCGGGTGCCTTAAAGCGCGATTTATCGAGCCTTATATGACAGTCGCGCTTATATACGAGCGTAGAGAGACGCTGCCGACGCCGACAACAACTATTCATTTCACAGGCCTCACATGTTCTGGGCACTTACGATGCCCCAAGATTTTCCAAACATTGGTGGCAAGGCGCGGCGGTTGTGTATTGAGATGATCATACACATCAGTACGGCCACATGCACCTACACATCAGTCCGCAGATGAGGCTCAGGATGCATTTTTCTTTTCTAGTGTGTGCACAATCCAACTGGTTAATCGATTCCGCGGGTATGCCTTTGGTCGCTGCCGGCCAAAGTACTCCGACTGTGATTCAAAGTAACTAGATTCAGGTGGGCTGTGATTGAAACCTTGGTGTAAGCTACACCTCGTGTATGTCGATCGGCATGCTCAACTTCCACTCAGGAAGCTGGCTCCTGCTGTCTAATGACACGAATGAAAAAATCAACAAAAAACAGTAAAGCCCTGACCGATTTCGCCAACAGGCTGCACATTCCTTTTCGGCCACTTCTTGGCATTGCGTTCGTGCTGTGGAGGACTCCATAGCCGGAACTGAACCAGACTCGTTAGTGTACTGATTGTGTGATGCCAGGTGCTCAGTGAGCGATTTTAAGCTCCCTCGTCGATTTTTCACGAGGCCCCTCCGCGGGGCCCCCATGTACACCGAGGTGCATAATTTTAAGAGTGCGAATAGAAAAAACCCAAGGAGAAAAATATTTCAGTATAAAGTATTGATAGAGCACCGATGTTGATCGCAGTTAGCGTGGTCGCAGTCACCCCGGTCAGCCGGCGTTTTCCAGTCATGCATGTGTGAGGTGCTGAAAACGCCGTGTGCTTCGCTGGACCGCGCCACTTGCAAGCCTTCGCGATACTGACGATTTCATACAGTCCCTGACATTCCCGCATCCCCACACGGCTTACAAGCCTATCGATGGACACTTTCTCGGTTGAGACCTCTGTGGCCCAGCCCGTCTGGTGCAGAGCTCTCGGCCGACACAACCAACAGGCCTTCTAGCTCGGTATACCATGCCTGCCTCGAGTGGTCTGAAGGCGTCAACGGACCAATTAAAAATCCTCGCGCATCTGACGAGCGCAGCACGGTCCTTTGAAGCGGCCATGGGCGCCGTCACGCCTCAGGCCAGCCGCCGAGGGACGCCCCGCGATTCCTCTAAGGGGCGTCACCTGATGGTGACCCGTCCTGAATCGTTGTCCATTAGCTGGCCCCCGGCGGCCACAAAGCGGCAGCGACGCCCGGTTGCGCCGCGTTCGCCACGAGTGTGCCAGATCCGAGGATAAGTCACGTGCGCCGCCGGCGGTCTGCAGCGGGCGCCGCCGGTCCCCTTTGTGTCGGCCCTAGGACTCCGACCCCACTCAGCAGTCCCCCGACAACGGCACGTCGGACGGGGTACCTCGGTCTCAGCGCTCAAGCTGGCGTTCTCAGCTGTGCGGCGTCGGCACAAATTACTCAGCAGTGAGCAAAAGACTGATGTGATGAGTTGAGGACAGCGGCGGCGGATTATGGGAGGGACAGGAGCTTCCCTGCCGCCAACTATGGAGGACGTTTAGCATGAGCCCTATGACAGTGCATGGAAAGAAACGAGATTTTGTAATACTATGTTAGCCCCCCCCCCCCCCCCCCGATCTTCGTGGGGGTTGGGCCGCCACTGTTCGCGAAGCTCACGCATGAACTGGCAAGTCGATCTTGGGCTGAACACTAGTGCCCATCTGTTGACACATCGAGTGTGGACGTATCATGCGTGGTAAGCGCACGGGTCTGGCGGTCATCACCGGATGTAACACAGCTTCTGGTATACTGAGCCGTATACCACCAAGGGTGCCTCACAGCCATTGTGAAGGTTTTGCCAATGCGTTGTAAGTCATTGCTGCTGATATATTAGGGATCGAAATATTTGGTTTGTAAAGTATTAAGGGCAGGAGCCATGCTCCTCAAATCGACGTTATGTGCTTGGACAGTCCTCTTTCTAGCTGCTTTCGTGCACGAAAGGGCCCACTCCATCAAAAAGAAATGTTAGTGTGTTTACTTGCCTTGATGTCGTAAACTGTTGCCAAATTAATCGAGATTTGCCTTGAGCGCATTTCGTTTATATGCTAGCTAGCGACAAGTGCGCGATTCTCCCTGCAACACGTCTAGCGAGAAAATAACTACCCACTAAACGGGAAAGGTAACTTACTGGGGCTGCGTACTTGGCAAGAAAATATAATAACAAGAGCTTGTATTTCCATCGTAAGATTTGTGTGGCCAGGTACACTGAAGCATACAAAAACACATGTTGTCGGGTCTACAGCACTCTGCCTAGTGGAAGCCGTTTAATGCCGACAGTGCTTAGATTACGCCAGCAATCGAAATCAAAACACACATTTGCATTGTGACAAGGCAACAATCATCATCGATATACCAAAACGGCACCGCCATATCCGAGAACAAGAACTGATCACTCCACAGGATGCGGACTAATCGTTCAGAACGTCCCCCATCCCCAGTCTCACCAGATGGCTCACTAGCGACAGTGGGCGATACAGAGGCCCGCGGAGCGCTGCACCCGTCAGGGGCCGGAGTGGCGGCATCAAACGCTGGCAGCCACGGAGACCGCGACGCCACCCACAGGCGGCCACCCGTCACTGCGCACATGCAGGCGCCAGGGACGGGCCACACTGCGGAGCTCCGGGACAGCCAGCGCGGACTCGCTGAGACGACCGGCAACAGGTGGAGATGCACATACACATGAGCAATCAGGCCATTGATTGGCGATGTACCATCCATGTACCCAACGTGCCTCTGTAGCTATCGTCAATGTCCATGTTGCGTAAGTGACAATATTTGATCCGCTGCGCATCAAATTTAACTCGAAGCCCATCCAGGATTCCTGGATACAAATTTGGGTAAAAGAGAAACATTAGGCAAAAAGTACATCGCGTACTGAGCCACTGACGATCAATTACCTGTAATCGTGCTATCGATTACCGAAAAAGTCCTTACATCTTAAAAACCTAGCGTCCTTCGCCCCTGGGGTGCAGATACCACTACTCAATTCACGTAGCACCCACCAGCGGCGCGGAACATTGGTCCCCCCCCCCCCCTCCACACACACACACGCACTTTGTCAACACCGCCCGTCGCCGCAGCAGCCCCTGTAGAACAGACCGCCACCCTGGTGGCGCCTCAGCACGACTGTTCATCACCAGGACCAGCGCGGCGTCCGTCGCCAGCAGTGCTCATTACGTGAACCTTGGTCACCAGTGGCGCCCCTAGCGCGGCCGCCCGCCACTAGTGGCGCCCCCAGAACAGCTGTCGTCACAAGCGGCGCTCACCGCACGGTCGCCCACCACCAGTGGCGCCCCCGGCCGGGCCGCCCGTCACCAGCGGGGCCGTGACGTCGGGTAGGGCCACTCATGGTGGCGTCTGCTCCGGTTTGGCTCGGGGGCCGGCTGACGGCGCCGGTCCGGGGGGACGTGGCCCTGTTGCCAGGGTGAGGAGCCGCCGCCCGCGTGCGACCGGCTATTGTAGAACGCCTTTTCGAGGTCACCCTGCGGCTGCTGTCGCCCCCCGTATCGCTCAGCGCCGCGCTCGCCGCATCCGTCGTCACCCCACGCACCGCGCCGCCCGGTGTCACGGCCGCTGTAGCCCTCTTCGCCGCGCTCGCCGCGCCGCACGCTCCGGCGGTCACCGGGCCAGTCATCAGTAGGCTCACAGTACCGCCCGGCGCCGCGGCCGCTGGAGAGCTCCGGAGCGCCGTCATCGTGCCAGTCTCCCGCGCGCTCGTTGTACCTCTCCGCAAAGCGACCGCCGTACCTCTCCACGCCACGATCATTGTACCTGTCCGCTCCGTGGTCATCGTACCTCTGTGCTCCGTGATCATTGTACTTGTCCGTACCACGATCATTAGACCACACCGCACCGCGATCACTCGCCCGCTCCGTACCGCGGTCAGTGTGGCGGTCGGGACGGCGGACGCTGTGTCTCTCCGACCCGCGTTCACTAAAGCGACCCGCTGTCCGGTCGCTGTGCCTATGGTCGGCGCGTTCTGCCCGGGCTCCTCCGCCGGACTCGATCAAGCGCCGGACGGGGCGACCGTTCGACGCCAGCTGCTGCTTGTCATGCTGCTGGAAGACAATAGCAACATGTTACTTCCCCAGGTCAGCGGATGGGGATGTGTGTGACAATGTGGACGTGCAGTTTTCTGACCACCAAGCTGGGGCGTCGGGATTACTTAAATCGCAGCATGAGCAAACAATAAATAAGAGCAGAACATACACTAGCAACAGTCATCCAGCGAAGACACAGGCCGAGTCTGACTCCGTTTTCATGCGTGGATAAAGTTGCAAAATTGTGTTTCTTCACAACGCAGCACTGCCAAGATTTCAGCAGTCAAATTTCCAAAAGTATGCTCAGAGGACTGCAGAGGACAGCGACGTTCGCCGTCGGGCGGTGACCACAGTAAACCCCCTGGCTTCCCCCCTCCCATCCTTGTCAGGCGGTGACCGCGGCGGACCCACCTGGCCGCCTTGCGCCTGCAGTCGGAGCACTCGACCGAACAGCTTGGTGTCGCGGTACAGCTCGAGCGCGTATGGCACCGACTCCTCGTCCTCGTAGGTGACGAAGGCGAAGGGGCGCGGATCGCCCGTCCTCTGGTCCCGCGGCCGGCGCACCCTTTCCAGTGGTCCCGCCTGGCAATCACAAGGCCAGGAAAGTGGAAGCACACTATATACATAATATGTTCCAATACTAAATGCATGCATACTGTTACCCACACTTAAATAATTACATATTCTTACTCAGAAAGCAAGTGCAGTGCTTCAAGTGTGCACCCTTGACAGCATTATAGCTAACAAATGCTTTTGTGTGTAGAGTTGTAGCTCATTAAACCACACAGCATCCACACATGACCGCTGAAATGGAGCTTGCAATGGAAACAGGACCTTTTGGCTATGTGAGTAATGTCTCAGGTGGCATGGCCATAAACTACCACTGACAGTAGACTGGCCTGACAGGTGGTATATCCAGTGGAGCTGCCATAACCTAATGCAGATGCTGACAAAGGAGCCTGTTTGTACCATTAGTGGCATCGTCGACATGCCTTAAAACATGCTAACATGAGAAGCTTACCTGTAAGAATAATTCATACAGAACTTCATCTGTCACCTCACCAGAGACATTGCCACACCATATTGTTCGGTCAGGATCAGACATCAGTGTGCAGTGTGTGGTGGGAAGTTGAAAACCTGAAATTAAGACATCCTGTTATTATGGCATATTTAAGAAACATCAGCCAAGTCACTTCAAGACACTGGCAGTGTGGCAAGGTGGTCATAATGGTGGTCAACTAAATGGAGACACACTTGAAAACTTCACGTTTTTAGCTATTTCCCCTAATATTTGAAGTAACATATGCATGCCCAGTGTGTGATAGGTGCATGCTGGTGCAAGTCCATGACACCTTTCTTTGTCAGGGAATATAACACCTTGCTTCGGAAAACAGACTGATGTACACTGACAATAATTTGTGTGGCTGCTACTGTGACATGCATTTACTTTGGTTTTCATAGCCTTGTTTCCTTGACCAAACTTTTGCTTGAACTTGCGTAGACCAGGCAGACTTGTTTGCACACTACCTATAAACTGCTACTCAAATTGTAAGGGCTGTAAGCATATCATTGTGAAGAGCTTGGTTAATATGGCTTTTCAACATGGCATAATATGCACAGATGCGTTAGAAATGCTGAAACAACCTTGAGAGGCTTTGAAATTTTTCCAAGCTTTTTACAATGTCTGAAAAACACTTAGGTGTATGCATACCTTGGTACCTAATGTTAGAAAATTCACTGTACATCATTTGTCAGGTTTAACGCGGAACATACCGAAGTCATGGCATGCATTGCTACCTCATGTTAAATAGAGCATTGTACGTCAGTCATCGTTTTTAAGGCAGAAGATATCGAAATTAATCGTAAAACAGGTCATCTAAACTCTTACCTCGGAACTTAAATATCTACGATAGCGAACATCCGAGCGCCTCAAACACGCAGCAACCGCGGCCCCGGCGCCGTTGCTACGCAAGATCTAACATTACTGCGTATCAGGAACTATAAAAATGTACGGGAGGCCCAGGTGCCAAGAACCCAATGAAGTATGCTTCCAAGCAGTCTTCCGTGCGCAAGATGAGAATATGGCGGCTGAACAGAACTTCTTAATATGGTGCGTAGGTGTGGCATGGGGCATGGATGCCAATGGGGCACTGGGTTGAAGAGGATAGGGTGGGGAGGTTAGGTTAGGTTAGGTTAGGTTAGGCTAGGCTAGGCTAGGCTAGGCTAGGCTAGGCTAGGCTAGGCTAGGCTAGGCTAGGCTAGGCTAGGCTAGGCTAGGTTAGGTTAGGTTAGGTTAGGTAGGTTAGGTTAGGTTAGGTTAGGTTAGGTTAGGTTAGGTTAGGCTAGGTAAGATAAGGCTAGTTTAGGCTGTTTTGTTTATTTTTATAGTTCTTCACAAGCAGAAATATTGTAACCACGCAACGATGACGCAGGAACTACGCTGGGGAGCCAAGGCGGTGGAGTGAGTGGGGCGCTCGGGAGTTCGCTATCGTAGTTACTGGAATTCGAAGGTGGGAGCATGAATCTACCTGTTTCATGATGATTTACGACATGTTCCGCCTTAAACACGACAAATGATGTACAATGTTTTTTTTAACATTAGGTACCAATGTATACCTACACCTAAGCTTGAACTACAGCATTGTACCGTCCCATTATGACAGCAGGCCTCAGGATTCGCAGCACGTAGCGCCGTCGAAAAAAAGTGATCATACGGCGTAAAGGCGCCCCACACCATCGCCCAACCCTTACAGTCTTAATTGGAATTGCCTCACTCACACGGCTTCTTGCAGGGTATTGCCTTATAATCCCTCAAACCAACCTCACTGCGCTGACAACTTTTGTCGACCACCAATTACCAAACAAACTACCGCAACCAGTGGTCATCCAAACCATCAACATCGCCTTGCCATCAACGGGCACCATTTCCCCCCTTTTTTTGGTGGCTTCAACGTACATTACTTGCCAAGAGAGGAACGAGCGGTGCTGCGAATTTATCCGTACATAAAACGGCTCACCCTAAATAAGTTCGGTGGCCACTTTAGCGAGGGGAAGCAGGGAAAAACCACTCATATGCAATTTTGCTTTGATGGGCTGCGCAATGCGGAAAATGTGGTGAATAAGAGCCGCCATTCAAGATCACAACTTATTGCATATATGTGGGGAAAACCATGAGTAAAACCTTGGTTGCGTTGGGTGCCGGGCCTTTTGCACGCATTAATCGTAGTACCACGGGGCCAAGTAGCGAATCAATTGCCATCAGATCCTCGTACCCAATGACGATGTGATCACGAAGTCCAGAGCAAGGTCGGTTAACACGCGCCCGGGCGGCCGGCGGCCAGATACCCTTCGCCCGTGTGGGCGTCAATTTGACCCCCCTGAGATCTCGGGAACCTTTAGACACTAAATTTACAGCGTGTGTTGACCTGTGCGTGAACTCACTTAGGTTGAGGTGTCAGGTTCCTAGGTCATGACCTTCGGGTAAAAAAGGTCGAACAAGGTCAAGTTCCAGGTTGGTCTCCAAAGTGCCCCCAGAACGTAGATAACCGTTTCTAAGCCAAAGGTCACATTCTCACTGAAGGTCACTGACCTTGTTTGAGCTTTTGAAGGTCAGGGTGGCCAAAATCATGCAAGGTTGCCTTCGAGTTTTGCATTTGACTAAGTGACAAAGATTACGTTAGACAGTATGTTCCTAAAACAAAATGTTGACCCCCGTCATTTTAGATCAGTGACCTAACCTGACCTCTAAGAAGTCCATGGAGATCTATAATGCGGTTTCTGCTATCAATTAACTCGAAATGAGCACCAGAAACTATCCCATACAGCAAGCTCCGGAGTAATAAAACATGTTGGTTTTGGCCTTGGTGTGACCTTCATACCTGAGCTTAGATCAATGTAATTTGCTCATTCAAAATTTTTTAACGACATACTTTCGATATGCTCATGGGCCCTCTTCATTAGTCTAGGACACTTCCGATTCTTTGTCACTTGCCTAGGGTCCTGCACTCTTGTCAGGGGCCCCTCTGATGGCCTGCTTGGGCACAACAGTCCTTCGGGGACCCTTCACAATGGGCCTTGGGTACTTCTTTTCTTAATGGGGGCCCTACGCTTTTGAGGAGGGGGGGGGGGGGCTATCTGATAACCTGCTCGGTCACATTCAATCATTCCGGGGGGCTCTACAGTGGGCTTTGGGCACGTGTTATTTGAATGGGGCCCTCGGCACTAGTCGGCCCCCCCCCCCCCCCCTGTTTGCCTCCTCGGCCACACTGGATTGCTCGAGGGGCCCTGCACATTGGCTCTTGATGTTTGATTTTAGGGTCCTCTGCTCCCATCGGGGTCATCTGATAACCTGTTCGGGTACACTCTATCTTTCGTGGGCCCTCCGCACCGGGTTTTAGGTACTTTTTATTTGAATGGAGGGCCTTACGCTCCTGTTGGGTCCCCTCTGATAAGATGTTTGGGCTTATTCGATCGTGCGGGACCTCTACATGTGGTTTTTGGGCACTTTCTTTTTGAATGAAGAGCCCTCCGCGCTTTTCGGGGACCCTATCTGTTAACCTGCTCCGGCGCCCTCGATTATTCGAGCCCTCTACATTGTGTCGTGGGTGTTCCATACTTGAACGGAAGGCCCTACGCTCTTGTTGGGACCTTATCTGTTAATCTGCTCGGGCACACTCGAATTTCCGGGAGCCTTCCAAATAGTGTCTTGGGCACTTTCTTTCTGAATGGAGAGCCCTACGTCCTTGTCGGGGACCCCACCTGTTCGCCGCTTTGGCCACACCGAATTGTCCAGGGTCCCTGTAATTGGGTCTTGGTGTTTAAATTTAGGGCCCTACACTCCTTTCTGGGCCACCTGATAATCTGCTCGGGTACATTCCATCTTTTGGGGCCCTCCGCACTGGGTTTTGGGTAATTCCTCCTTGAATGGGGGGGCCTTACGTTCTTCTCGAGCCCCTTCTGATAAGCTGCTCGGGCACATTATATCACTCTGGGGTCATTCACCTAAGGTCTTGGGTGCTTCCCATTCGAATGGAGGGCCTTGCGCTCTTGTTGGAAGCCCTATTTGTTAACCTGCTTGGGCACACTCGATCATTGGGGGCGCTCTTCATTGGGTTTTGGGTAATTTCTATTTGAATGGAGGGCCCTACGCTCTTGACGGGGGCCCTATATATTTGCCTGCTCTGACACACTGGATCATTCGGGGTCCTCTGCATTGGGTCTTGAGTGCTTCCTATTTGAACGGAGGGTCCTATGCTCATTTTGGGAACCTTATCTGTTAACCTACTCGGGCACACTCGGTCATTCTGGGGCCCACTTCATTGGGTCTTGGGTACTTTCTATTCGAATGGAGGGCTCTACGCTCTTGATTGGGGCCGCTATATGTCAACCTGCTCTGGCGCACTCGATCGTTCAGACCTCTACACATTGTGTCGTGAGTATTTCTTCTTTGAATGGATCGCCCTATGCTCCTGGTGGGCCTCATCTATTAAGCTGCTCGAGCCGGTGGCGGATGCAGAGGTATGGGGAGGGGAGGCACGGGACCATGTCCCATGGAATGCCGGGGGAACTTAAAGGCTCCGAAGGGGCCCATGACCGGCCGGACGGACACAATTTTCTTACAACATTGGAAGCCTTTGGACCTACAGACGACCAAGAACAACTGTTAGCAAAGGTAAAGAGTTCATAAGCAGACGAAGCTCTTTTTTTGCTGATTGAAAAAAGTGTTGCTTGGGGGAAATTTTGGAGCTCGTTACGCTGTCTAGAGCCATTGCGATGTCGGTTTCCTGGCCTTATATGTCCACTTGCTGGGTCAATCTGATTGCTAAGGAGCTTTCCACGTTGCTCTTGATTTCTTTGCATTTTCCCGTAGCGCCCAGTGGGCTGTTGTGACGCTATCTGCCTCCATGTCTGAGCACTGTTGATCGATCAGATTTTCCCTGCGGATTCTCCCCATTCGCCCGAAAGGCTCTTTACGCTTTTTCCAGGCCCCATATGCTAAGGTACACTCAGTTGTTCAGGAGCCCTTCATTTAAGTCTCAAGCTCTTCCTACTTGCTTGCAGCGCCTTGTACTGCTACTAGGCCTCTTATAAGGTAAGGCACGGAGACACTTGATGCTCAGGGGCCATCTTCTTTCATCGAGGATTTTCTCCCTTTGGGCTCATTTGCGGAAGACTGTACTTCAATCGAGGCTCGTGTTGTTAACACCCCGTGCACGCTTGATCGCACAGGGGTATTTACTCATGGTCTTGGGTAATTCCCCTTCGCTGGGAGGGCTCTGTGCTCTGGCCGGGGCCTTATACGTCGGCCTGCCGGAGCACCACCGGTCGTTCATGGGCTCACCACGTTGGTCTTGGGTTCTTTTTGCTTGCTCCGCGGACCCTATACTTGTTGACAGGAGCCACTCTGCTGGCCCCCTGCGGCGCCCATGATTGCTCAGGTTTCGTCCCTATTGGCATTGGTGGTTTTGCCTCAGAGCAGCGGTCGGATATGCGCCGATGAATTTTTACACGCAATTGCCGAACGTAATTTTACATGCTGCCGACGTCGTATGTGTCATTTTCATTAGCTTTCGAGTGTGTGACACTTACCATACTAATGCATCATGTTCTTAATATATTTCGAATGTTAGGATATATTGTACTCATTTATTAGAGAAGAACAAGTTCTGCAATGGTCATCAGCTGATTACACCGCCCAGCAGGCTAGCCGTAAAAACATAAGCTAGGAACCGAGTCCACGCTTAGTTTTGATGGTTGTTAGCACCTAACTCAAGTTTATTTTGTTTGTTGTTCCGAAGCACTTAGCCTTAAAATCACAGCATTTAACATGATCTGTAGAAAGTGAGTGAGTTCTATGCGTATGCATGCGTAGCACGCTTGGCTTTATAAGGCTGTGCACAGTAAGATGGGTTTCCGTATTCATGAAGTAAATGGATAAATAAATACATACATGAAGGAATACGTACCTTTCTATATATATATATATATATATATATATATATATATATATATATGCTACATACGACTTGTCTTAGAATGCAATGACCGAAATGCAAGGATTTTTTTGGAGGGGCTTCACAATGTTGCGTGCTCCCCCCCCCTTGACGAAATCCTGGATCCGCCCGCGGGCTGACATGCAAAACATCCCACTGATTCTGCGAATACCGGGCGAAAGGAACTTTAGTTAAATGGAGAACACCACCTTGTGCCCGAGACACTTGCAGAGGCGTTGGTAGACGGACACCTTCGTTCGCAAGGGCGTCGGCGACGACATTTCCCGCGATGCCACAATGTCCCGGTATCCACAGAAAGGTCACATGTTGGTCGGTGAGTAGCGAAAGTATTATACTATAGATGGGATACACTCCCGAGTGGTTGAAGTCATCGATTCGCTGAAGGGTCTGCAGCGATGCCTTGGAGTATGTGCATATCGTAGTCTGAGGAATACGTCTGACTCTGATATGTAACAGCACTCGTTTTATAGCGTATACTTCCGCAAACAACACCTTGCTGAAGTCTGGAAGACGTGCGCTAAATCAAGAGTCAGGGCCGACGGCTGCTGCACCAGCCTGGTCGCCGTGAGCAGATCCATCGGTGCGGATTCGGCGTGCGTATTTCGGTACTCCAGGAAGGCAGACTATACCTCAGCAGGAGACAATTCGGATTTCTTAAATCTAAATGGATACTCTATTGGGAGATTATTGCAAAGCCAGAACGGCGTCAGTGGAAGGCTACGAGCAACACGTATGCATGGTGATGTCAAGGGCTCGTCGCCTTTGTTTGACAGCGTCTGACAGGAAACACGACCTTCGCTGCTGTCTTTGTGGGTGCGGCCCATTGGTTTCAAGAGCAACGCACACCGCGTGGTTCAGCACACTGCGAGTTGCAGTGGTAGCGAAGCAGCAAGAAGTAACGCCGGCCTGCCAGCGCTGGCGGGTTAGTGTCAGCACGGATGGCGAAAAGTGGGGTCGTGCGGAAGGCCCCGTGGTCAGACACTGGCAGGTTGGTCGAATGTATTTGAAGTGTTTGGAAAGGTTGACTGAGGTAGTGCTGAGTGTGAAGCTATTGTGTTGTCTCTTTATGCTCCAGTGTTGATCGGATGAGACCGATTAAAAGTGTGGTGAGTGTTGTTCGGTCTGCACCCCAGGTATGACCAGCAAGGCGCCTGAGGACGATACGACGTTTTAAGCAACAAGTTCTGACATCGCCTATGTGTGCTTGAGAGGTTAGATATGAGTCCAATGTTATTTCCAGAAACTTTGTGCAACTTGCAGAATGGTGTAGGAATACCACAATTTGTGGAGAGACGGTA